TTATTTTACCCCAAAAAATATTATTTTAAATAAACTACTACATTAACAATATGTATTTTGACTTTTAACAAAAATATTTAATTTTCCCTCTAAAACGCTCATGGCTGTCATGGCGTCTTGAATGACGTCACGCCGTGCAAAACAAACAGTATGCTGTACGTTGACTAATAGAATTATTTCATTAAAAATGAATCCATCGTATTTCAAGTACTGTATAGTGCCCCAGTGTAAAAGTACAAGCATAAAACGCCAGACAAATTATTTATATACCTTTTAAACAACTTACAAAAGCAGTAAAAATGGCTAGAACTTGCAAGGAGGGATGGTATTCATTGTTTATCAACAAATAAAATAATGTATTTTTGTGAAGATCTTTTTGATGTAAGTATTTAGCATAGCATAATCTAGGTAATCTAAATGTTACACAAGCTGGATAAATTATATTGCATTAAATTGATAAAACAATGACAATAGGTTGAGGTTAGGTAAGTAAATTTAGTTTTATGGCATGATTTAAAGTCAATTTGAGAGTTAAGTATATTTATTCGTATTACTCGTAATAAACACATTTCATATTCTTGTTCTAGTTGCCTAATAATATGCTAATTATACCAAGTATCATATTAAGGTTTGTTTTTTATTTTGGGTAAACTATTATTATTTGCTTTGGTAATTCCCGATGGCTATACATATTAGGCTATCTTACAATAATTATCTATGAACAAACTGATAAAGTGTATCAAAGTAACAATCACATGAATGACAAATCAATAAAATCTATGAAAACTCTAACCACAAGTAATGTTTTGCACGGAGTGACGTCAGTCTTTCTGATTGGTGTTTACTATCACGTGACCTTATGCCTATTATTACCGAATTTATTTCATAAAAATAATAATAATCTTTAATTATTATGATAAATAGCTTTATTTTTCGTTATCTGTATATCGTAATTCATATTTAGAAACTGTTAGCCATCCGATTTATTGTTAGTGGACACAAGCCTATTAGATTAGATTCAGGTAACCGCCATAATGGCGTTGCCATTTTTATTCATAATAGTTTGCAATTCCATAAGATAGATACATCATTTGATGATTCAATTCAAAATATAGCTGTAAGATTGTATTATGGAAATCAAGAAATTTCTCTTGTGTCTTTATATAGTCCAGGTAACTGTAACCCTTCATTTTCTAAATCAAAACTTGATTATTTAATCAGCAGTATCCCTGGGCCTTTGCTGATTGCTGGCGATTTTAACGCCCGGCATACAGCATGGGGCTGTAGCTCTATTGATTCACGTGGGCGCGATATTATTGAAAGCATCAATGACAACAACTTAGTACTCCTAAATGATGGTCAGCTGACAACTGTTGGCTCTAGTGTATGGCAAAGGAATGCTTTGGATTTAACACTAGTATCACCCTCTTTGGCTTTGAGATGTGAATGGTCTGTTTCTGATGACCCTTTAGGCAGCTACCATTTACCTGTAATTACAAAATTAGAAATTAGTAATAATAAAGACTCATTTGAAAATTTACTTGCACTCCCTACATATTTTAATTTCCGTCTAGTAGACTGGCAAAAATATAGTGAAAATGTAGATTTCTTATTAAATAACAATTTACAATTTGACCAGTCTAATCCATTAAAATGTTATTCAGATATGGTAATATTATTAAATCTAGCGCTGCAGCAGTCTGTTACTCACACTAGTAGACAGTTTGTTCAACCACAAATATCAGTTCTAAAAGCTTTTAAGAAACGTGTTTCATTGCCTTGGTGGAATAACAACTGCAAAACAGCTGTAGATAATTGTAGGAAAGCTTATACCGAATTTAAGCATAACCTCTCAGAAGAAAGTTACAAGCTTTGAAAAAGCTCATTTTAAAAAAGGAAAGGAACTTAAGTTGGATGTCATTGTGTGAATCACTTAATCGATGTACTCCTATTTCAAAGCTCTGGAGGATTGTCAGGAGGTTTAATGGTATTTCTGTTCCATCTAAAAATGTATATAGTGAATGGGTACCAGAATTTCTCAAAAAATATACACCAGATACCGTAGAGGTCCCATTGACATTTGTAAATAGGAATCCTGTACATAATTGTAAATACTTAGAAATGCCATTTAACATACAAGAATTTAAAACTGCAGTTTCTACTCGTAGGGATACAGCTCATGGCCTCGATGGTATTCCTTATAAAATGCTAAAATATACTACAGATAAAACAAAGAATATCATCTTAAAAGTTTATAATTTGTTATGGTCTTGCTGTGTTATACCTATTGTCTGGAAAAAAGATTGTTTGGTCCCCATTTTGAAACCAAATAAAGATAAGACTAAAGCAAATTCATACCGGCCAATAGCATTGACATCATGTATGGGAAAAGTATTTGAACAGCTACTCAAACAAAGAGTTGAATTTTTCATTGAAAGCAATAATCTATTACCTTCCAATCAATTTGGTTTTCGCAGGGGCCGATCCTCTAGAGAGAGTATAGCACATCTTCAACTAGACATTTTTGATGCACTTAAACAAGATGAAGTCCTTATTGGTGTGTTCTTTGATGTTGTTGGTGCTTTCAATAATGTAAATCCTCATATTTTAGCACGTGAACTTTTTTCTCTTGGTTTTCCTGAAAAAGTAGTTATGTGGATTTTTAATTTTTTGCATGGTCGTGAGGTTTATGTCAAGTCTAATAATCAATTAATAGGACCACGCTATTCATATAAAGGTGTCTGTCAAGGAGGAATTCTATCTCCATTGTTTTACATTCTTTATGTACACAAACTAAACATCATTTTAGGATCACAAGTAAAAAACTTGCAATTTGCTGATGACTTGGTCATTTACCATTCAGGTTCTGATATTCAACAGGTAACCTCTACTATAAATAGAGCACTTTTAAAATTAAATGAATATTTCAGTTATTTAAATTTAGATATTAGCCCTGACAAATCTAAAACAGTTGTATTTGGTGATTGTGATACAAATGTTGATATTGTATATAATAATGTCATTGTCCCTGTAGAGAGTGAAGTAAAATTTTTGGGTGTTATTTTCACCAATAATCTTTCATGGAAAAAATATGTAGAATATCTTTTGGGGAAAGCTTACAAAGCCTACAATGTCATAAAATGTTTATCAAAAATTGACCCTAAAATATTATTGATGTTATACAAGTCAATTGTTAGAAGTCACTTTGAATATGGATTTTTATGTTTTGGATCTGATTCTCAATTAGTAAGAAAATTAGAAGTCTTGCAGAATCATAATCTTAGATGCATAACGGGTGCTATGAAAACCTCTCCTATCAACTCTCTGGAAGTAGAATGCAATACACCTCCACTTCAATTAAGATTTAAATTTTTAAAATCAAAGTTTTTGATTAAATTACTGTCATTTCATTCCCATCCATTAATTAAAAAAAATAACTTTCTATATGGAATATACTCTCCAACTAATATGTCTAGGATCCCTTATTTGCTTCATGACTTCTCAGAATATATTAATTACAACCAGCAGTACAACATTAATAAAACTGAGCATAATTGGATATGTTACAAAGAAACTTATGATATGCATTTCTGTGACATAAGCATCCATATATCGCCCGACTTGAAATTTAAAGAAGAAGTTTACAAAAAGATTGATAAGTTTTCCAATCATAAACATATTTATACAGACGGTTCCAAGAATGATGATAATGTTTCAATGGCGATTTACATACCTCATTTGAAAACGGGTCTAGGGTACAAACTTCCAAGCCAAATGAGCATATTTTCTGCGGAGTGTCTTGCAATTCTTTCTGCATTGGAGTTTATAGAGGAAAATATTCAGGAGTGCACTCAATGGTTGGTGTTAACAGACAGCATGAGTTGTTTACAAGCTTTGCGAAACAATAGATTTGACTCTGGAAGTAATTTTATTTTACATGATATTAAAAAAATGTACCACAAACTTAAAGTCCTCAATGTACAAATAGTTATAATGTGGGTTCCATCGCACATAGGAGTCATCGGAAATGAGAAAGCTGATACGTTAGCCAGAACCATTTTAAATCGAAGCAATGATGAATGACGTTGACTTTAAAAATGTTGCCATACCTTTTTCAGATTTATTACCCAAACTAAAACTTTTGTTAAAACAAGATTGGTTGATTAATTGGCATCAAACGCTAGTAATAAAAGGAAAATGGTATCATAAAATTAATAATGTAATTGGTCAACATCCATGGTTTACAAAATCTAAAGAATACCATAGTCGGAAATTTTATACGACCATCACACGCTTGAGAATTGGACATGGACGTTTTAATTCACATTTATATAGAATGAATATAATTACATCTCCGTTATGCACAAACTGTAATTTAAATAAAGATCAAACACTAAACCATATATTTTTTGAATGTACAGCATATAATATACAAAGACTTGTTTTAGCTGACAATTTAATTAAATTATATAAAACTAATAATGAAATCCCGCGCGACATTCAAGACATTGTTATGAATCCAAAATCATACAAATATCTATATATTTTTTTAGTTTCCATAGATATGGAACTTTAAAAAATTTCATGACTTTAAACAAATAAGATTGAAAGAAAGAAGATTCAAATTGAAAGAAGATTCAAAATCGGATTTGAAAATTTGGGGGAAATAATAAGTACCTAAACTGAAAATGGATTAGAAAGACTATTTAGGACAAATATCTTATGATTAAAGAAGTGGCTTCGGCCTTATAGAAAAAAGAAACAAAAAAAAATCCTTTAAATGAAGACTATGGCTGCATGGCTCTGCCTTTGCCTTTCCCAAGATGGGAAAAAAGATATAAAAAAAAAAAAAAAAAAATTTGAAAATAAAATGGGTTTATTTACATAACTTAAAGTCAACTTTTTTTGAATAATTCGCCCATTTTACGTGAAAATGTTGTTGAGGCCATCTTCATTGAAGTGTTATGCCTCTTTTGCTTCAAGTTCATTAAAAAATGTGGGTAAATTGTGAATGTTTTTCGAATGTAAACACAACTTTATTTATGTTTTCCTGTTTAATGCATGGAATGGGCAAAAGCTCTTATTGTTCAAAGTGTTGATTACAAATATTCTGTTACATAAACGATAAAAAATAACTTTGCATGGAATCACATCTAATCACAGCCTCAGTAAAAATGTTGCATACCAATAATCAATCTGAATCTTTGAAGGTGCTTAAGTGCCTACTCTTTAAGTTTTTAGGAAATCATGTCAATAAAATGATATTTTGTTTACTAAACAATTTAAAATAAAAGTGCAGCCTGAAATTTGAATACTTATTTGACAAAATATGAAAGTAAATAAATATTAATGAGTGGAGCACAAATTTGTGGTAAATAATCAAATGTTTATACCAGGATTCGAACCCAAATTCTACAAAGCAATGGGTAGGATCACTGCTGTTGTGTCAACTAGATTGTTTTCTAAATCTTGTCTTCTTATCCTTAGTCAAGAGATCATACTAATTTCTTATTTGATATTATGTCAAGCATTTAACTCCTTCAGTATAATGTTCTTTACTTTATTTTATTTTTATATCACCTTACATAGTGTACAATGCTATTAAAACTTACATCAATGTTGCTTTTTGTTTCAGGTCCAATGAATTTATAAAGGCAATCTAGAAAACAAGATGGCTGCTGCTCAACCTGGCCCTGGGGTGAAAGCACTGCCATTGACAGCAAAAGCTGCAGTTTGTAAGGTCAGTAAATAAATACCATTATTAACAATTCATAAATTTGAAATATTGTTATTTTAACAATTAACTATGTGTGCAATTTTCTACCTAAGAACAATAAAGAACTTTGCTCCTTCTCAGTCACTTGATGAGTTAAATGTTTAATTTTCAGCTTATAGAACTAAAGGCAGATGGAGTGCACGGTACACAGATTGTGTGCCACAAAAGCGAATATCAAGTCAAAAGCGTATCTCAAATTGCGTCAGTACACTACAACACATGGTGTTGTGAATATGTGACATGTATATTAAATTTTTATCAAAACTGCCGCCTTGTTCAAGCATTGTAAAACTTGGTTTTAAACTTTCATGGTCACTAACATTATAGTAATATAATTTATTTACGGGATTATTACCATGTACCTTGTTTCTAGCGAGTTTCCAATATTTCGCCATTGTTGCAAGCGTCATATTCACGGAGTAACATGATATAACAATTACTCCATGATCATGGCGCTTGCAACAGTGCCGAAATATCGGAAACTCAGTAAAAACAAGGTACATGGTAACAATCCCGTAAATAACTTATATTACTTTAACATTGTAAAACTGTTCACAAAGAAAAAAAATCTTTACTTTTGACTTAGTAATTGGTTTGGTGGCCATACTTGCGCGTTCCGTGTGTTCCATCTGCCTTTTTTTTGTTCTGTAATCTGAGGTTTCATTGATCTTATTAGTAACTAAAAATGATATGGTATTGCAAATGTATCTGAATTTTGGTGATCACCACCAATGAACAATAGTATGTAACAAAAAAAAAATTTGGTGCGTCAGCTCCGACGCACGACTGGAGTTTACTCCTTAACTTCGATAGTCTAACCAGATGCAAAAAGAGTTTATTTAACTTAAAAAACATTGATACTGTATGAAAGGGTAAATTAACAAATTAATGAAAATAATATACATATATAAATATATATATTTATTAATTTCATATACATTTATTATAACTAATCGACGAAATATTTTACATTAAACTTTTTACAATAGTCAATTTCAGATGTGCATAAATATATCATTAGGAATGTTGATAAATTATGTAATTATTATTATCAGACTATTATCATTTTTTTAAATATTAATTAAATCAACATTGTCTGCATTATTAATTACAGTGACAAGTGGTTTATGGTAACTAAAATAAGACACATGGACGTTCGTAGATACATGGTTCACGAATCTTGAAAATACCGCATCAATGATTGTACCATACCTCGTTGTCCCCATTGCTCTATCAGAAACAATATCTAAATTCAGTTTAGATTTTAAAAATTTTATTATGTCAATCCGTCATCTTTGTTTGTCAAAGTTGCGCGACATAGGATGCGCACCAAAAACGTAACGAGGTCATTCATCGATAGATTTTACCCCTCATATTTTCTCATACCGGGCCCCTTATATATGCAAATCAATTCTTAGGGAGTGAACTCCAACAGCTTTCAGCAGAATAGTAGGAAGATATGACTGCCACTGTATTCATTGCGTACAACCAAGGAAGATTATTATAAACAATGAACAGGAGAAATTGCAGACTTCACTTGTTTGTCATCAGTATTTTTTTAATCAAAGTTCTTTTTTCATTTTTGGAACTCCATACTAACTTTTGATTACGTCATACTTACTTTTTATGGGGAATTTTGTAATGAGACACTGACTTTCAAAGAATTGCCAAGATGGAAGCATATTTTTTGAAGTGGAAACTTCTTTAGCGCCTTTGTACACTTTTTTTGTAATGGGTAAAAACTGGGTTCAAACTCGCGTGGCCTGAATGCGTCATGACACGTGGCCTGATCGCGTCTGAACACGTGACCTAATCGAAAATTCGTAACAATAAAATTGGAAAGGTTGTTGACTTTCAATATATTGGACGAAACATTTTATTTTATCGTATTATAATAATAAGTCTCTAATTAGGACGTCCAGGTGGCAGCTTTATTGCGAAGAAAATTCATATTTTTACAATAGATGTCGCTAGGTGCGCTTAAATGTGATTCATGTCAGTTGATTTTTCTGACAGATGAACTTTTTAATTTAATATAAATTGTCATATTTGTGTACGATAGCGCAATAAATAAATATTGTATTCTACCACATAAATGATAGTACTCTTGTACTGATAAAAGCAATTCGTGCAAAATATTTCCCTAACCATTCCGAAATATCAAAAATGCACAACGTTAATATTCAAATTTTCACTGGTTTTTTTTAACTAATATGATGTAGTTTTATTTTTTTAAGGGGAATAATGAGTTACTTACCGATCGCAAGTGACTTTTTTGGTTGTTTCTATGCGTCCTTTATTATTTCGCCAAATTTTTATCGCGCATCTCATCATAATTTATGTTTGCATTTTTAAGCAATAATTTCAAACCGAAACTTTGTAATTGACGTGCGCATCGCTCAGCGTTGTACTGAGCACTAAGTGACGGGAAACGACTTAGACTTAGACCCCACCAGGTGGTAGATATTTTCTTCAATGCATCTGCGCTGCCACACTCTATCTAGAGTAGTGTTTCCTAACCTTTCCAATACTTGTTTCTTAGGTTTTCACGCACATCACTCATTAAATAAAACTAGTTTTTACGAAAACTTTATTTATTTATTGACGTTTAGTAGCCTTTACAGGCTACGTCGTCAGAATAAAACTTTTATTGCATTAACCCGTAAAATAGTATATTTCATTACTAGTACGGAATGGTTGTCATTGCAAAGAGTTCCGACAAATGTCTACCCGAGCCGAAGGCGAGGGTTGACAGTCGGAACGAGTTGCAATGACGGTTCCGTACGTGTACTGAACGACTATTTTTAATACAGTTGCGAAAAAATGAAGCAATTTAATCAAATTATAAAAACACAATAAACTCAATTAACTAATCATTTATTTCTTATAAAAGTTATAATTCATATATACATTGAAATTGGTACAGTTTTTTATACTAACTGGGGAAGTTTTACGTTGCATATTTACTGTTTGAGACAAACTATTATTAATTTCGTATGATTGTTCATGTATATTTGTCATACAATGCATCATACATGCGTTTGCTAGTTGATGGAATTGGATCTGACCATAACGTAGAAGGTTTTAATTTTGCTGAGAGATCGGAAAAGTATGCCAACATAACATTTTCTGAGAAACTATTTGCTTTTTTCTCTTCTTTCCACGCAATAAATTCATCGTATGTAGATATGTAGCGAATTTTTGACTTTTCCGGTGAAATGTTCTCCGAAGCATTTTGTGCAATTATACTGAGTTCCGGTGGAGTTAATTCAAAAAAATTTAGGTCGAAATTACTCATTTTGTGTAAAAAACAACTAAACTCGCAAAGAAAATTTCGGAAAATGGCGCCAACCGTAGAATGTAAGCAGTTTTTTTTCACCCATTCTGGTAGGCAAAGGGAACTGCCCATACAGCCAAGTCTTTAGTACTTAGTATTTTTTATTATAAGAAATGAATTTGAAATTTAATGATATGAAATGAACTGAAACCTTACCTAACTCATTCAATCAATTAATTAATTCTGATATTGGACAAATTAGTATAGGTAGCTTCTTTTTAAAAACAAATAAACCTATTTGCATGAATCGCAAAAACTTCTATGATTTTTTTTAGTTAAAACTTCATGGTTGTTTTTTTAATAGAAATAATTTTGACAGTTGGGAAAGAAAACGCACGAGTTCGGGAAAGGCAAAAAAAAGCACGAGTGTGAAATAGCCCAGATCCCGAACGCTACACGTCCCTGCAATACGCCACTTTTTGAGCAACTGTATTAAAAACTACTTTCCAATACTGCTACCCCTGTAACCTATTAGGGAAACAGATTTTACCCCGACTTGAAAATGTTAACATCAGTCCAAGAAAATCCAATTTGGCCGCTACATCTTCGTATCTAATAATGTCATCATCAGGACAGAATCTCGTCCCGCTTCCCACACTCAGCACCCCGCGGGCTCACTAGCAAGAAGGAGCGCATGCTCTATTTAGTAGTATTATTTAGATTTGACCAAATAATTAGGTTCTTTCTTACCCCCGAAGTATGGCTGATTTACCCCCGGAGGGGTAATTACCCCCAGGTTCGGAACCCAGGATCTAGAAAATAAATAATCAAAGGGTTTTATAAAAAATATTAAATTTAGTAAACTCGTGTCATCCCAGTACCAAATTCAATTATGACAAGTTGTTTTTATCAAGAATTAATGTTTGTTATGTATTTAACTCTTATTCTAATTAGCAAGAATATTTTTCTGAAATTTCTTTCACAGCTCATTACAATAATTATAAACACACGCTGACCTTGATATTTAGGCAAAATGTAACTAAAAAAATCTGCATTTTTTCACTTCGCCGTTGGTCTGCAACTGTTGAAGATAAGCAACTTTCGCAATCACCGGTTCTCAGATGGGTGAACTGAAAGGACATGGCTACACAATTCTTAACGTGTATAAATATTTCGCACTAGCCCGTAACTTTAAAATATTTTTTTATTAATTATTACGTGTTTATTATTCTCATACAACTTTGGTGAAATAATCAAATATTTAAAAGTATAAATATTGACTTCATGCCTGTTTCGAAAGCAAACTGTTCCGTTTTACAAAATACCTGAACAATATACCTATGTACACAAAAAATATTTGTGAAAGTATATCGAAATAAACAATATTATTTCTAAACTTCTTCAAACTATGACACATTTGGCCCTAATTTTTATTATAACAAATCACGGGAGGCCTGAAATAATAGATTATTGAATATGAAATTTATTATTCTGATCAGGCTTGAGACAAGGCTGTATGATAATTAATTCTTTAATTTTTTCAAATGGACAAAATAAAACTTCACATATTTGCTGTCAGGCCGACAATAACAAATTATTTGTATTTATTTTTGGTTTAAAAAAACTTTTTGTGAATGAGAAGAAAGATTCTAAGAAAATGCGAAATTCACGACTCTGTTAATAATTGGCAACAACTTTTATCAACTGTAGTAAAGTAATGACATAGTAGGAGTTCTCATAATTTTCAAGATTGTGACTTTATCAAAAGTTCCTGAGCCTTTTTTCATAGAAATTATAAATATTCAGCCATTTACCATTAAATATTACTAAGTACAGTATTTATACATTGCCAGGGCAGTTGCTCATACAAAACTTTACCATGTCCTTTGCTATCTCGAGCTCATTCGTGCTTCAGAAGACATATTAGGCTGTTGGTCTCGACTACATCTGTAGTCGTTAGCACCCACGAATCCGCAACCACATAGTGTGGCCTAATCTTTCTATTCCAACCATAGGGAAGTCCTGTGTCTGTGTCCAAGCAGTGGAGACATTAATAGACTAATAATGACGATGATAAGTAATATAACCAGAAAGGTAGGTTTTTTAATAGTAGACATACACACTACGAGAAATCTTTACGATTAGACTGTACAGTCCGAACGGTACCGATAAATCGTAGCATGTATGTTATAAAACTGCACAGTTTCCTATACGTACGCCACGTACGATAAACTGTTATGGCTACCATAAGACATTCATTTAATGCAGTATAATAAAGGGTAAACTGTACAGTGCGACCAAGATCTTTATGAACGTGAATGATAGATTAGGGAGGGAGCCTCTATCTACCTAAATGAATTGTAAATGACCGGCAATGACATACAAAATATGACGTTTACATAGACGGTGGCGTTAGTTCCAATTTTCGCCACATTGATAAAGGTCTTGGTCGCAGTGTTTTTTTTGGTTAAGTTCTCCCTTTTCAGGGAAGGCAAGGGGAACAATGCCTATACAGCCTAGTCTTAAGTTAAATTATTCTGTTTTTCTTTTTACATTAGAATGTCGGTGTGACGCATTCTAATGTCTTGAAGTGTTTGGCACGAAATGTATCGAGCTGGCTTTTTCGATAATCTTCTGTGAGGTAGTCAATACTACAATTAAATTCTCACGTCCACTTGACCGGAATAGAGTATATTTTGATTATTTTCTACTAATTCTTCAAGTACGCAGACAGTTGTAACACAAAATCACACCAATTTTATTTCACAATATCCACTATGAACGAATTTAAGAATAATTAAAATAAGACGCCAACCACACTCGATGAAATCCCACCAAAAACTTTGGTCGCACTGTACTGGGATTCTTTTTTTTAATAACAAATAATAAGTCATTGTACATAATATTTATTGTGTAGTTCGTCTATATGACCGACCAGCGGTCTGTTCACCAATTTGCCGACGTCTTTTGCGAAAACGAAATCTAGGTGGTTGAACTTTGGCCAGTTGCACCCCTTTATAGAGTGAAGTACGCCAGTTTCGTTTAGTTCTGCCGCCAATCGGAGTATACCCTGAAACAAATAACTTTGCGTTTAGGAAGTATGTAGTAGAAGGAAGAGGGGTAGGGTACTGCGGATTTTCCGCTCGAATGGGAGCGCTTGTCTGGGGAAGCAAACTTCACCGTGCAGAAGACCACAGTGAAATAACACGCTGCCGCTTCCTATATCTATACTTATAATAAATCTGTAGAGAGGTCAATTCTGTACATGAAATATATTTTCAAAATAACTGTCAGGGGGTGATTAGTGATCGATACTGATGCCAAAAATGCAATCAGTAAATTTTTTGTCTGTCTGTCTGTCTGTGTGTATGTTCCTTATAGAAACAAAAACTACTCGACGGATTTTAACTAAACTTGGTACAATTATTCTTCATACTCCTGGGCAGGTTATAGTATACTTTTCATCACGCTACAATCAATAGGAGCAGAGTAGTGAAGGGAAATGTTGGGAAAACGGGAGAAGTTACTCCATTTTTTAAGCTTCCGTCGCGTGTGCAGCCTTTATGGTTAAAGTTACATAGAAATCATGTATGACGGAAATATTCTACATAAAATTGTCAAAAAAAAATATCCCGCAACAGCATATGTCTATCTTTTATGGTTGACTCACAATAACACGTGTAATTATATAAATAAAGTCATTGTTTATAACACAAGCCCGAGAACAAAAACTATAGTTTACACTACAGCTCTACACCGAAGCGAAGCGAGGGCGGGCCACTAGTACTAAATATAATGTTAACTATAAAATTTATTGTAACTATATACAGGGTGTAAAAAATCCTTTAACGAAGTACATACACACGTATTTTCCACATCATGACGATCCTTTTCTTCTTCGGGATTTTCCTTCGGAAAAAGATTTCGTGTACGTGTTTTTAATAATTAATACTTTGCGTGACAAAAAAAACAGCTTACAACTCTTTTACAGGTAATGGAAAGCTGAGCCCCCAATCATGAAATTAATGTTGTGCTATGCAGAATGTTGAAGTCGCATTTATGATTCCTTACCGATTTTTCCGTTAGCCTGTCGTTCAGTCCGTAGAATAAGGACACTGGAATCTTAACGTTGTCAAGTCGGTACGGTTTCAAAGCGCCCCATAAACCATCTGCCCACTCAGTGAATACGCCTGAAATACACGTGCTTTTAATGAAAATGTCAAAATTTACAACCAAAATATTGAATTTGTCGAGAGATGTATCAAGGAATTTTGTTTTTCATAATAGTTTTATTCAATTATTTACAATATGTCTCTTTAACTAGGTTAGGTTATTCTTATTCAAATTTCAACGTGTTTAATAATATACTGTCCGTGCTCGAGGCTGCTATTTGGTACAGCCAGGGGCGCGGGCAGAAGTCTGAAAGAGGAAGCATAGAAGGATAGTAAAGATAAAAGTAGGTATACAAGAAAATAGGGAGGTGAAACACAAAGTAAAGAAAAGTTGATTCACATTAGTCCCGTTAAATACTACTCGTTATGTATCAAGGATTTGTATAAAATTTGGCAAACATAGAAGTGGGAATCTTTACAAGACGGGCATATGTAGTCGCGGACTTTTCCTATAGAACTTTTTAAGATAAACAATTCCGTCGTACATAATTTTTGTTAACTTACCGTTACGCAGCGCACGCAACGAAAGATTTATAAAGTGAAATATTATTTCCCGTTTTTGTGAAATTTTTGATTTATGCTGCGCTCCTACTAATCTTAGCGATATGTTATATAGCTGTTGGCCTTCCCCGATACAAGCACTATCCAACACAAAAAAAAACTATCCGGAGCAGTAATTTGTGAGATAAGCGCGTTCAACCAAACAAACAGAAGAGTTTAGCTTTGTAATATAATTATATATATAGATATGTTTTTATTTATTTTTAAGCATTTGACTGCTAGATGTTTAAATCGATCTCAGTTGGTTGCTATACACGGATATAAATCTAGAGCTAGGACCATACCCTCAGGTGTACTTCAAGGGTCTCACTTGGGACCCTTATTTTTTCTAATATTTATCAATGATATTGCTGGAGTAATAAGATCAACATCATCACATCAAACGATATAAATATCCTTCAGTCAGACATAAATAACGTAGTAGTGGATTTTTTTCTAGTAAAAATTTTCTTTATATCTATAGATATTAAATAAACATGTTTTAAGTGTATATGTTAATAGTAAACCCTTACTTGTCATGGCAATTTTCCCGAAATGTTCCAGTTGTTTCCAAGACGCCGGCTGTGCTCTTGCTATAAATATTGGTGTCATATCCTGGAAAAAGTGATGTATAGCTATTATTAATCTAATGATTAATTCACATGTAACTATAAGTACTCATTAATGTTATACTCAGGGCTTGTTTACCGGTTAATTTTCAAACCTAAATCAGTGTCAAGTACATTAGGAGCGTTTTATTTAGGTTTGGCTCTACCTTAACCTTAAAAAAACCGGTTTTCCGAAAAAAGCGAAATCAAATAGGTTTTGAATCAATTTAGTGATTTTCAAGGTAAGGTTTTAGGTACCGTTTTCATTTCGGACGCGCTCCGAACTAAACTTTTACTAAAAACCGGTATAAACCTTTATTTACCGGTATTTTTGAAACCGGTTTCAAGCCCTGGTTACATTTATATTCCACTTACCCAATCATGTTGCTCGTAGTCTTCCCCTACTATGGAGTACATTATTCTCATACAGACATCTGATTCTGGGTTCCTAGCAGTGCAGAAACTTTCAGCGACGAAATCCATCACGTCCTGTTTAAATCCTAGCGCCAGCATGCCTCTTTGACGCAGCGTTGTCTATTGATAAACGATATTTTTATTCAAACATTGCTCTTTCTGTATTCACAGTTAATTAATGGAGATATCTATAGCTAATGGAGCTGGTTTGAATGCAGCTTAATACCTGGATCACGTGAAATGTCTTGAAAAAAAATCTAGCAGTTCAATATTGAGCAAGCGCACATTGAGCCACTAAACGCAGCCACCGATCGCCGCCGAATACCGTCGATAGTGGCTTAGTTGGGACACTAGAACGCTTAGTTTGTGCCGATACTATAAAATATGTATGTAAAAACTCCACCGCAGCTTGTGGATGCGTTTAGCGGCCGCCAACAGTGGCTCAATTTACGCTTGCTCTTGAAGTAAAATAAAAGAATTGGTACTTAATTCCATTAGCTGCGGTTGAATTTCGGGGTAGTTTTGATGTGGGGGGGGGGGGAGGGGAAGATTGTTGTAAAGCCACATTTACCTTTTTTTCTAAGTGTTGAGCCCATTTTATTTTTTATTTATCAGGTAAATAATTTATATATTTTTTACCGACGATCACAGACTGTCTGACGAATCTCAAAACAAACACAAAATGGCGGTAAATTGTCACATTTTGACAATAGTACCAACATAATAAACTTATTTTTACCATAGACAACGAGAAAAATTATTTTTGCATGAAAAAATGGCAGCACTGATCAAAATTGCTGTCAAAATTGACTTTTAACCTACAAAAATATTAATTTTCAATACATTTTTTTTCTCGAGTTCTATTCATTTCCGCCTAAAAAGATTTCGTGTACGTGTTTCTAATAATTAACACTTTGCGTGACAAAAATTTCAGCTCGCAACTCAATCACAGCTAATTGAAAGCTGAGCCAAAGAATTTGTCATTGGTCGCAATTAACAGTCTTATTTCATACTGATATGATGATTAATCATGCAACTGTGGTGTATCATTCACAGGCAAGGGTTCTACTCTCCACCTAATAACGCACCGTTGCAACTTTTTATTCGCAACTAGTGGCCCGCCCTCGCTTCGCTTCGGTGTAGAGCTGTAGTGTAAACTATAGTTTTTGTTCTCAGGCTTGTGCTATAAAGAATGACTTTATTTATATAATTACACGTGTTATTGTGAGTCAACCATAAAAGATAGACATATGCTGTTGCGGGATATTTTTTACACAATTTTATGTAGAATATTTCCGTCATAGATGATTTCTATGTAACTTTAACCATTAAGGCTGCACCCGCGACGGAAGCTTAAAAAATGGAGTAACTTCTCCCGTTTTCCCAACATTTCCCTTCACTACTCAGCTGCTATTGATTGTAGCGTGATGAAAAGTATACTATAACCTGCCCAGGAGTATGAAGAATAATTGTACAAAGTTTCGTTAAAATCCGTTGTGTAGTTTTTGTTTCTATAAGGAACATACACACAGACAGACAAAAATTTTACTGATTGCATTTTTGGCATCAGTATCGATCACTAATCACCCCCTGATAGTTATTTTAAAAATATATTTCATGTACAGAATTGACAGCTCTACAGATTTATTATAAGTATAGATTAAAACCCAGCATTACGCTTGTAGTAATTTACTTAGCGTACGATAAAAAAAATACTCACAATTATATCCATGGATTTCAAGAAGAACGTTGCTATGTCTTTCATGTTATCTACATACACGGCGGGTGCCAATGCCACGAACGCGATCAACTTATCATTGTACTCTGGTTTCTGCGACATCATGGTGAAAAATGTCGTGGTGCCCATGGAGTAGCCTATGTATAAGATCTTCGATAGTCCCGTCACCTTCAAGACCTTGTCGATCATAGCGGGGGCGTCGTACTTCCCGTGCTCGTGAAAACTGTAAATTCACAGTCGGTTTATTAAAGAACATACTGAAATCGACAGCTTTTATATATCTAGAAAGTATAAAAGCTGTCGATTTCATCATCATCATGTCCCCACTGCTGGGGCACAGGCCTTCCCTATGGATGGAATAGGGAGATAGGGTCATTACCCACCACGCGGGCCCAATGTGGATTGGCGGGTGCTAACGACTGCAGATGCAGCCGGGACCAACGGCTTAACGTACCTTCCGAAGCACGGATGAACTCGAGATAGAGGATTTTTGGTCACCCATCCAATGACCGTCCACTGCGAAAGTTGCTTAAATTCAACGATCGCAGCAGAACGCGCTAACCACTTGCGCCATCCGGGTTCTCGATGTCGATTTCATTCATCATCAAAATTTAAAAAATAAACGAGTGCATATTGTTTGAATAGAGATATCCGTGTGCCTTGAAATTTCCGCTACCAGTACTCGACATTGGACAATATCTCATCATAATTTGTTCTGTTCTCAAGATAGCAGTGTTATTATGGACATACTGTATGTATTGGTTATTGGAAGTAATGAAATTATGGCATCTTAAAAACTTTCGCAAAGATCGGTTGCTCTTCATTAGCTGCCATCAATTGGCACTATGCCAAGTTGTGTACACAATAGAAGACTCAGAGCGAAAAAAGTTAATTCTTAGAGCAGAACTTAAGGTCCTATAGTAGTTTACGAGCTGGCATCGAATCACACCCTTGAGATTATACCAATACTAGCAAACCAGTGAACCAAATGTTCACCAAAACCTGATTTCTCAAAAACCGGAAGTGCTACGTTACTCAAATCCGGTTTGTAGTCTTATCAGACTATTCTTAACTTAAAACTAAAATATTCTCTTTATCTATCTCTTACGGTTTGGCCGCTGAAACAGCACCACAGACGGACGGACTTGTCTAATAGATAAGAGATATGTAGTGTGTCTTTCTATTTTTTCCACTCTTCAGTCACTTACTTACTTTCCAGATCAAAAACAAAGTTGTTCCCAATTAATTTACCTGTAATCCCAAAATGCAGGATCATTCCTTGTGAGATTCTGATGACTAGTGTATATGTTGCCCCTTAAGTTTCCAAGCCACACGTCGTACCCGGCGTCCGCTAAGATGTATGCTGGAGACAACATGTAAATTAACCATATTTGTGAAAAGTGGTGATTCTGGTCTGGGGCCGTTCAAGTATTACGTAAGCACTATAGGGGGGGAGGGCGGTCTTTGCGTTGCTTAGTTTTGATGACATGGGGGGGGGGGGGGGTTAGAGGGTCGAGATAGTGATTACGTCAGCATCATGGATTCGAGTGTCATGGACTGAAGATTGTATACATATACCAAAAATTCGAAAGAAGTTGGTTTTGTTCGTAATAGGACCTTACTCAATGTTGAATACTGTGTCAATAAAGTTTGTTTCAATGAATATTATGTGCGATAAAGTCCTCTATCAGATAATATATAAAAAAAAGCAGAATATATTAAAGGAAAAATGCATAGGTACCAATGTTTACGTAAGCACGAGAGGGGGGGAGTAAGAGCTTTGCTTACTTTTGCGGACAAGGGGGAGGGGGGGTAAATAATTGTAATAAATCTGCTTACGTCATACTTGAATGGCCCCTCTTCATAGAACACAACAACTTACTTATTTTAATAGATTATATACTGGACTTTAGATATTGGGACTCATGGTGCGCGGACATTCGGCAACGGTTGCCGCGACCACACCCACACTCCCGGAATGCATTGGGGGGACCGCGGTCCTCAGAATGTACGCGGGGTGACCGGTGCAGGAATATTGTCTGGTTTTTAGTGGCCCTGTTCAGGGCGTTAGGTAGGGCCCGGCCTAAGGGCTGGCTGAAATGAGCAGGGAGGAGTCCCACATACCTTCTTCTCGCTTCAAAAGGTGGTTGAAGGAAGCGCAAAGCATTTCCCAGACAAAAAAAAAAGATATTGGTACTCTTAGTTTTACCGTGCAGTCTCACCAAAGTTTTCATGACATGTAATATTAAGATTCATGTTTTCGGAGGCAACAGCGACGCCTTATGGGCAGACCTAGAAACAGATATTGCTGTGGAGATCATGCTGGGCATTACGGATCTTGCAGAACTGAATGTGCCGGATTGTGCAGTATGCTATATTTTGGGAGACCAAGATTTCCAAACTCGCAAATTGATGCAGACCATCAAAACCAGAAAAGTTGCCTGCCTACCTCGGTTATGTCTTCAGACACGAGAGATACGATTTACTGCAACTCATTATGATGGGCAAAATTGCGAGGAAACGACGAGTAGGCCGTCGGAAAAAGTCGTGGCTTCGAAACATCCGCGAGTGGACCGGTGTCAAGAGCGCCGCGGAGTTGTTTCACCTCGCCAGGGACAAAGCGAGGTTTTCAAGGCTGATGTCCAACCTTCAGTAATTGGAGAGGAACATGAAGAAGAAGAAGATTTCCGAGTCCATCCATTTTGAATGCTTGAGTACGAAGAAGCATTTGTGCAGGCCGGCAAGGTGACGATGGTTAGTGTAGCAGATTTTATATGCTGCATCAGCTACTTTACCATCTAATTTACCACCACTTAAAATCAGGTGGCGTAGAGTATTTACCTACGAAACAATGAAAAAAAAACGAGCGAGCCTTACAGTAGTCGCGTATGATGTGTAACATTTGAAACCTCACTTTATATTAAGTTAAAAAAGAAATAAAACCTACTGCAAAAGGAATAAGCCACTATGTTCTAAAATCAAATCAAATAGCGCTCGCTTTCGCGACTTCTTGTTACACACTTCCGTCCCATTTCACGAAATCACTCCCACAAATTATTGCAGGAAAGATGTTATCAATCAAAAAGTCTAGCTTTATAAATCAGGCATTAATAACTCACACAAGCTATTCTTCGGTCCCATGATGACAAAGTCCCCGCTGCTTCCAACAAGTCCGTGAACCATTAGGACAGCCCGCTTGCCCTTCCCTCCGGACCCGACAGTCCTTCTGGCCGTCCTTCTTCCAGAAGGTATCCTGTGCATCTGTATGTGGTAGCCATCCTCTGTTGTAACTCTATGCTTCTCCACTGGGTATCCATTTGCAGTTATTAGTTTCGGCTGCAAATAAACACGCAACTTTTTAATATGTAGCCAAAGTTAACATATAACAATCTAAAGCATCCATAGAAAAATGAACTCCCTCGTACACAGCTCTACGCAAATCTTCGATACCTGATGACTTTGGTCTCTAACCGCTTTTTTACAAAAGGAAGACTAAATTGAAACCTGGTAGTAAGGCGTTTAAGGGTAGTTTCCGCTATCAGGCGACCAGGTTCTGGAACAACATTCCACCTCCACTAAGGAGGATCATATCTCACCAAACATTTAAAAAACATTTAAAATTAATATTACTAGAAATGCAAAGGTTAGGAATAACCACATGTGGTCGTATGGTAGCGGTTTCTGCCGCTTTCTAATAGGTGTGTCACAATTTGTGTGTGTTAAATTCTGATGGGTAAATATTAATTCAGAAATTCAATATTAATCGAAATACTAAAAAGTAATAACAACAGTAATAATTAATATTTTTTGGTGAATGATAATATTATATATAGTTATATTATAATAATTTATCAATAATAATTAAATAATCTTTTTAATTTAATAAAAATATAATCTCATTTAATTCTCTTAATAATAAATTAATCACGTCACGTTGATGTCGTTTCACGTTACGCGCTTTCTAGGCAAAACTGAAAACCAGTGCTTTGCTCTTAGAGCAAAGGTATCGCTGAGTTTTTGCCTTTTTCTGTCGTTGCGGCACACAGTTACATACCTAGTAATTAATTGTTCTATTTTTTTACTTGAATTTGTGTGCTGTACTGATGGGAATAAATGATTTATCTATCTATCTACTAAAACGTATGCTGTCACTTTTGTTTGCTGAAAAGAGACAGAGACAACATTACGTTTAAACCAAGGATTTTAGTCCGCGAATAAGGCGGTAAGCGACAACCGCAATACAAATCATAGAGGTTCGTGCACATGCACGCATTGCTGACATTTTGTTTTTTATTGTGGTAGGTAGTCTCTTAGAGACCAAGGTAGACAGGTATCGTACAATGATATATATAATATCATTGGATATGGAAGATTTGCGTAGCACCGCTTACGAAAGGCCTAGCATTCGTTAAAAAAAGGCGGTAAGCGACTACCGCCATACAAATCATAGAAGTTCGTACACATGCACGCGTTGCTGACATTTTGTTTTGTACTGTGGTAGGTAGTCTCTAAGAGACCAAGGTAGACAGGTATCGAACAATGATTTAAATAATATCATTGGATATGGAAGATTTGCGTAGCACTGCTTACGAAAGGCCTCATCATCATCATCATCATCAGCCTATTAATGTCCCCACTGCTGGGGCACAGGCCTTCCCTATGGATGGAATAGGGAGATTGGGCCATGACCCACCACGCGGGCCCAGTGCGGATTGGTGGGTGCTAACGACTGCAGATGCGGCCGGGACCAACGGCTTAACATGCCTTCCGAAGCACGGAGGAGCTCGAGGTAGTAATTTTGTGTCACCCATCCAATGACCGACTACTGCGAAAGTTGCTTAAGTTCAACGATCGCAGCCGAACGCGCTAAGCACTTGCGCCATCGAGCTCCTCAGAAAGGCCTAGCATTCGTAAAAAAAAGGCGGTAAGCGACTACCGCAATACAAATCATAGAGGTTCGTACACATGCACGCGTTGCTGACATTTTGTTTTGTATTGTGGTAGGTAGTCTCTTAGAGACCAAAGTAGACAGGTATTAAACAATGATATATATAATATCATTGGATATGGAAGATTTGCGTAGCACTGCTCACGAAAGGCCTAGCATTCGTTAAAAAAAGGCGGTAAGCGACTACCGCAATACAAATCATAGAAGTTCGTACACATGCACGCGTTGCTGACATTTTGTTTTGTATTGTGGTAGGTAGTCTCTTAGAGACCAAAGTAGACAGGTATCGAACAATGATATATATAATATCATTGGATATGGAAGATTGCGTAGCACTGCTTACGAAAGGCCTAGTATTCGTTAAAAAAAATCAGTAAAAAGTGAACATTGTTTATTCATCCATATCTGTGCAGTTCTCATCACTGTGTATTTATCTTCACGCGAACCAACTGTTATTGTTCTGTGGCGCTTAAACGATAATCTGTCTTAATCTTGCAATAAACGGCAAAGATGAAAGTCACGTGCGCAGCGCTAAACTGTGTTTTGCACGTGTATTAGCTAGTCAGTAATAGTATATAGCTCGCAGGTAGGGCTGCCATCCGTCCGGGTTTCCCCGGATTTGTCCTAGTTTACGGGGCGTCCGGGGAGCATCCGGGCGGGGTTTCATATGTAGTCCGGGTTTAAAAATTTAGGGCAACGCATGAGCGGCCCTTGGTGCTGCAAGTGTCCATGGGCAGCAGTGACCACTTATTATGAGGTAGACCGCTACCTAGACCGCGCAGCTCTTTTGCCTAGATCAACATAAAAAAAGTTGATTTGTGACATTTTTAACTGTTTTTTTATTGGTCTGTCTGGGTTCTGGGCTTCAAAATCCGGGGTTATCACGCGTCTTATCCTGGTTGCCACATTTTAGAGATGGCAGCCCTACTCGCAGGCGACTTTTTAATAGGCTATCTGTTTTTAGTATTTTTTTTGTCAGAAACATTAAAAATGTGTTTTAACTGAATCCATTTGCGAACGTAGCTGGTTTTTTTACTTTACTCGTTTGTGTATCTAGGCTATACTTTAAAATAGAGTACCTACTCTAAATTATACACGCCTCCTCCTTCTATATTATATACTAGAAGTCGCCCGCGACTTCGTCTGCGTTAACTTAGTTTCTTGAAAATCCCTCTGGAACCTAAAATTTTTTCGGGATTTATCGTGAGCGTCAGAATGGCCGGTCACTACCCATATTTTACATCGAAATAATTATAGAAAGTTACTACCTAGTTTCTTCTAGTTGCTACTCATCGTTAAATAGTTGCTACCCCCCATTAAAACAAAATCAAGGAATGTGGAAATTTGTATCGGAAATCAATAGAACCACGCGGACGAAGTCAAGAAGAAGATCCACATTAACGTTAAACTCATTTCCTAAGTCCCTTTCAGTCTCATCATCGATATATTTTATATATATGTACGTATGTATATTTGTATTGTATGTGTATATACAGGGTGTGACAAAAGTCCGAAATAAAACTTTAGGGTTTGGTTGTGTTCCTTGTATAGAATTACCTACGAAAGTTTGACGCCTTTCAGACCACTTTTATTTTCTAATTAAATTAATAAAAATATCGTTTTACACCTGCCTATGACAACCCTATAAATGCGTACGATTACTACTACCTAAACAGACCTCCCTCTCTCCCCCAGGCGCCCCTGCGCCCCGCTCAGATACCTACAAATTTATATTTCGGAATACATACCTACAAATTTTATTTCGGAATTCTGTAACACCCTGTATATGTGAGTGTGTGTATATTTATATGTCTTGTGCTGATGTATATTTAATTATTATGTATAAGATAAGTTTTTTCTATTATGGTATGTTAATATTATTATTATTATTTTTTTCACTAAAGCCGTATACGTGACTTTCTGTACTCCTGAAGGTTGACTGGCAGAGAATGCTTTTAGCGTTAAGTCCGCCTTTAGTCCATTTTGTAATTGTGGCAATAAAGTTTAAATAAATAAGAAGAAGATATACCCATCTTCATGGCGATGAAGATAATGATGATGGCCTTCAATTTTAAGCGGATAATGAATCAATTGTAAGAATAATGACAATAACTACATTCATTGAGATTGTGCGGATATCAGAGATATGTCTGCATGAAGTAAATGTAATTCATTTAAATGAGTTTTCTAACAATAACCGCGGTTAATTGGCCAGTTGAGAATATCATATTACTGTAATGACAACGGCTATTAACAAGCATATAAAATGAAACATCGGCATAGTGCGAACTAAATGGGAAGTTAGACAAATTAGAAAATCATAATTTTTAAGAGACGGACATTATGTTTATTCAATAAACAGGACAACTTGCTTTCGTAACCAATAATTAATTTGGTGTTACTGAAGTGTGGTAGTAACCTTAGATTAAAACAAAAAAGGAAGATACGGTACGCTCATACTTGCATCAAACAAAAACTGATCCCACGGGCGGCAGCGCGAACGGGACAGCGAGATCCGCGTCACTGCATTACCGACCCGAACGAAACAGCACGTTAAATTTCAACGGCAGCGCGAACGAGACGGCGAGATCCGCGTCACTGCATTACCGACCCGAACGAAACAGCACGTTAAATTTCAACGGCAGCGCGAACGAGACGGCGAGATCCGCGTCACTGCATTACCGACCCGAACGAAACAGCACGTTAAGTTTCAACGGCAGCGCGAACGAGACGGCGAGATCCGCGTCACTGCATTACCGACCTATTCTAATTTATGAACGAACAATATGACTTTGATTTAGCTATGTAAGGAGTTTTACTTATAATCCTTGCAGGCTGAGTGAGTATTTGCATAATGTTCAGTCGACCTACTATAAATTTACGCATATATTAATGTTTTGTTATTCTAATGTTGTAATTATATCCTAATGTCAAACATTGAAGTAACATCAACATGTTCGTTCATGATATTAATGCCTATTTCTCTTGTGCAAGGTAGTATCAGTAATAATCCATATGTGGAGTCATCCATTGAGTACGTGACACGTTTTGGGTTGGTAAAAGTGTGACATTGTGTGACAAGGGGTGAGAGGGCACCTAAGTTTCGTGACGTCACATTTCAAAATCTAATACTTTTGAACTATCAACAAATTTTAAAATATTCAGAACTCTATCTGGTATTTAATAAGTTTTGTTGGCAAATTTTCGGAACTAATTTCGTTGTTGCTGTTTTAATTCAATTACTTTTAGATGCAAAATATGTGACGTCATACTAAAGAGGGGTGGACTCAAAAATGTGAACAACTGATTATGTTGATTGCAGGTACACGTCAATTAATCGGTATAATTTGTTCTTACAATGGTGTCAATTCTGACATGATTTTCTAAA